GGTCAACCAAAAAAATCCCTGAAAATATAATCATTCATATATTTATTTAAATTAATATTTTAAAATTTTATTTATATAAGTTAACATATGATAAATATAACTACTGTGTGTATGTATGTGTGGGTGTGTGTGTAGGCGTGTGTGTGTGTGTGTGGGGGGGTGTTATACTAGGGAATGAACCCAGCTACACTCTACTACTGAGCTACATTCCCAGCCCTTTTTATATTTTAATTTGGGATAGGGTCTCACCAAATTTCCCAGGCTGGCCTCAAACCTGGCAGTCCTCTTGCATCAGCCTCCCCAGTCACTGGGATTATAGGTGTACATTATCCTGCCCAGGAATTATTTACTCTTGTTAGCTCATTTTCTGAAATGAGAGCTTGTGATTATTGTTTGCTAATAATATACCTAAAAGCTTAACTATAGGAGAGAATGAGCAATTTACTATATTACTTAATCTCTTCCACATGTTTGATATGTTTTCATATAATCATGGCAAATTAGAACAGGAAAAATCAAAAATGAGTTAATCAAATTGTATTCTTCAAATTCTTCTCAAGTGCTTTGGTTTGTTTATTAGGAATCTACTTCAATTAATGAGAGCTTCAGGCTCTCATTTTTCTTCAACCACATAAACCCCAGCTTCACATATTTTATATGTTGGGATTATGTGTAAGATACAGTTCTGAGTATCTCTAAGTTAAAAAAAAATAGTGTTAGAAAGTCATTGCTCAAATACTACTCATTAATGTAAGCTGATTAAGAACTTCTAAAAAAATACTTTGTTTGCCAAGGTCACAAAATGTAAATGAGAACCTGGAGCCCTGGCAATCCCAGTGACATGGAGCCAAGGCAGGAAGATCATAGTTCAAGGCCCTCCTCAGCAATTTAGCAAGACCCTCCAAAACTTAGTGAGACCTTGTCACAAAATAAAAGATGAAGGATGACATAGTGGCGCATTCCTGTAATCCCAGCAGCTCCAGAGGCTGAGGCAGGAGGATTGCAAATTCAAAGCCAGTCTCAGCAAAGGCAAGATGCTAATTAACTCACTAAGATCTTGTCTCTAAATAAAATACAAAATAGGGCTGGGAATGTGGCTCAGTGGTCAAGTGCTCCTGAGTTCAATCTCTGGTATCCCCCCCAAAATAAAATAAATAAGTAAAAAATGAAAAGGACTGGGGATATAGCCCACAGGTAAAGCACCTCTGGATTCAATCCCTAGTTTCAAAAACAAAAATGTGAGGAACCCAACTAGAAAACAAAATTAATTCTGAGATTGATTTCACCATTTTCATATTACCAGATAGTTTCACATTTGTATTTTCCTTTGCAGTTAAGATAAGGTAGTTAAGCATGCTGGGGAAGTGGCTCAGTCGTAGAGTGTTTGCCTAGCATCTGCAAGGCCCTGGGTTCAGTACCCAGTACTGCAAAAATTTTTTTAAAAAATGAGTAAAAGTTTGGGGCTGGGGCTGTAGCTCAGTAGCAGAGCACTTGCCTAGCATTTGTAAGGCACTGGGTTCTATCTTTAGCACCACATAAAAATAAACAAATAAAATAAAGGCATGATGTCCATCTCCAACTACAAAAAGATACATTGGAGATAAGACAGCCTTTTAAACAAATGCTGCCCAGAAAACTGGTCATCCATATGTAGAAGAATGAAACTAGATCTTTATCTCTCACCCTGCATAAAAATCAACTCAAAATGGATTGAAGACCAGGAATTAAACCAGAAAGTATGCAACTCCTAGGAGAAATGTAGGATCAACACTTCAGATATAGGCATAGACTTTCTCAGTAGGAACCCTAAAGCTCAGGAAATAATGCCAGGAGTTATTAAATGGGACAACATCAAATTGAAAACTTCTGCACAGCAAAGGAAACAATTATAAATGTGAAGATAGAACCTACAGAATGGGAGAAAATCTTTGCTAGCTACTCTTCTGACAGAAAGAACTCGAAAAACTTAACCACAAAAAGCCAAATAACCCAGTTAATAGAATGGGCAAATGAATTAAACAGGTACTTCTCAAAAGAATAAATACAAATTACCAACAAATATATGAAAAAAATTTAACATTGCTGGTAATTAGGAAATGCAAAACAAAACTACACTGAAATTTAACCTCACACCAGACAGAATGGTAGTCATGAAGAATACAAACAATAATAAATGCTAAAGAGGATGTGGAGAAAAATAAACAGCTTTATACTACTGGTTGGATTATAAATTACTACAACTATTATGGAAATCAGTGTGGAGGTTCCTCAAAAGGCTAGGCATGGAATCACCATATGACTCAACTACACCAATCCTTGGTCTTTATCCTAAACAATGAAAGTCATCATACTATAAAGATACATTCATACCCATTTTTATAGCTGCACAATTCACAACAGCCAAACTATGGAACCAGCCTAGGTGTCTATCAACAAATAAATGGATAAATAAAATGTGGTGTGTATGTATATATGGTGTGTATGTGTGTGTGTGTGTGTGTGTGTGTGTGTGTGTGTGTATATATATATATATATATATATATACACACACGCACACAATGGAGTTTTGTTCAGCCATAAAGAAAAATGAAATTCTGTCATTTTCATGAGAATGGATGGAACTTGAGACCATTATGTTAAATGAAATAAGCCAAACTGAGAAGGTCAAGGGTTGTATGTTTTCTCTCATATGTGGGAGTTAGGAAAAGGAAGGTGATGAGGTTATATCATGAAAATCAAAGAAAGATCAGTATAGGGAAAAGGACCAGAGGGGCAGGAGGAGGAGGGAAGTCAATGCTGGGGAGTGATATTGGCAAAATTATATTGTTATATTCTGTGCAAATATGAATATGCAACAACAAATCCCATCATTATGTACACCTGTAATGTACCAATAAAAATGTGGAAAGATGGGCTGGGGCTGTAGCTCAGTGGCAGAGAGCTTGCCTTGCACATGTGAGGCACTGGGTTCAATCCTCAGCACCACATAAAAATAAACAAATAAAATAAAGACATGCTATCCATCTACAACAACAAATTTTTTTTTAAATGTGGAAAGATACAATGAATCAAAATTTATTCTGCTGTAATATATACCTAATTAAAATTAATTAATTAATTTAAAATTTTGTTAAATGTGGAAAAAAGAGAAAAAAATTTGGATGCAGCTCATAAAAGATTAGAGAGCTCATGGACAGAGTACCTAACTATGATACACTGATACCTATCCAGTACCACATGGAACAGAAAAGCTGTCCCATATAAGCTCACTCCAAAGAACCATGAGCAATTAAGTTTGTTGTTCAAACCACAAATTTTGAGGGTATTTCTGCAGTGATAGCTGACCAAAAGTGCAGTATTGACTTATTGTCTCAACCATGAACAACTCTAGCAGTTGAGCATTGTACATTTTTATGGGTTATTTGCAGATATGTAGATCACACTAATTATTTCCAATAGTCCAAGTTATATAAAATTAAGTATTCTTTCAAGATATTCTTCATACTCATTTAGTTTCTTTAGTAACTATAATCTGGTAAATTAAATATATTTGGTTATCTTTAACTATAGAATTGTGGCAACTGCTGCAGTTGTGAATATCACCTGTAAAGAAAGAGTAGCAAAGGTTAGGGGTATAGCTCCGTGTAGAACAGTTGCCTAGCATTTCCAAGGCCCTGGATTTTACCCTTTGCCAAACAAGAAAACAACAAAACCCCCTTATTTTCATTATTTTATGAGATTTGTCAAACATCTCTTCAACTACCTACCGTATTCTCAAATTATGTAACCTTGAGTAATTCACTTGACCCCAGTGAATGTCAGGTGTCCTATTTGTATATTATAGGTAATATGTATCTTTTCAATATGGTTGTGGGTATCACATGGGGATATATGGAAAGTTCTCATTTAGTAGGCATTCAGTTAGTGTTGGTTACTCATTTTTAGTATATTAACTCCCATCTCTACTCCCCTTCCCTTTCCATTTGGAAAAAGGGGGTAAAATGAAATGAAAAGCTAAGGCCCAAATAATCTACACCTGAGTAGGGTAAGGCTGGAAGGGAGAGATCCTGCTTGTCCCTAACATCTACAATACCCAATTCAAAATTACAGATGGAAGCCCACATACCACCTGTCTAAATTTTTGAAATCATAAATCAAATGAACACACTTTTAGGTAGAAAACATTTTATTATCTCCCCTTGACAAAAAGAACTGTATACCAACCTGGAAGACCAAGTTTTTTGAACTTATGATTCTTGGACTCTTCAGAGTTTTGCACTAGAAAATGACAGCACAGAATGGCTGGATCCTGGCCACTTGCCCACCCACCCAATTATCTTTTTTCCTGCAACTCAAACATGAAGTATGATTTTATTTACATACACACATACATATAATTATAATGTAATATATATTAATTTGGGGCTAAGCACAGAAAAGCCTTTGAGCAGATTCTTCTCCCCTGATCTGTCCACCAATGTACAGAGTTGATCCTGATAATACAGCAGCAAGACAGTGGTATCTTTTTAAGCATGGGGCCCTGAGTGAACTTGTGGAGCAGACTGTCCTCCAATTTATACAAGATATATTCTCTCATTCGTAAATAAACTTGCATGATAAGCCCTGGCGATTTAGGTGTGGTGTATTTCTTCAGTAATATGTAGTCTATTCTAAGTTGGCAACTTTAAAAATAATATTACTAATAAAAATGAATTTTAGGAATTATGCCATTTAAAATGACTGAACTATTTTAAATATTTTGACAGCTGCTGATGGATGTGTTTCAGTTCCTTTACGATTTGCTCCTCTCAGTCCTGGCCGTTACCCTTGTAAAATTTTGTTGACATCAAGGTATGATGTACGTCTCTATTGCGTTGAAGGTGTGGTAAATGAAGAATATCCAGAGGCCAAATTTGAGTTCCAGACACCAGCATTTGAACCCCTTGTTCAGAATATTCCAATAGTAAGTGCAAACTTTTTAAAAATACTTGTCTTCATTTCTGTGTAGAGTTTTAAATTTACCTTTTTTCTCTGAAGGTTTTATACTATTACTCTATAAAATTAACTGACAATAAAGAAATTAGCAGGGAAAACATAAATTTATTAACATTCAGGAATAAGAGAACTCTACACAATGTAAAAGATGGAAAAGATAGTTGTAGAAGCTAAACAAAAGGATTGGAATTTGGGCTTCTAGGAAGAAGGGAGGCAGTGCTTGACTCAGGTTGAGGGGTGGGGGTGCACAGGGAAGAAGGATTGTCTTATTATGTAAATAAAGTCTCCCAGGTAACAGCCACTTGTCTTTATCTTTCTGAGCCAGGTGTCAGACTCCCAACCTCTACTTCCTGTCAAAAGATCTTTCCTAGGAAGAAATAAGAAAACAGATAGAAAAGCCTCTGCATGCATCTACTGTTTATTTTCTTTATAGATGTAAATTTATTTTATAAAAGGGCAGTCTTTCAGAGTTAATTATGTCTTCAGTTTCTCAGAATAGCTATCATGAAATATTCCAAAGAAATAATCTTCAGGGTAGAATATTTTGGGTTTTCATACTCACAACAGCTATCTTAAAATATTCTAAAGAAACAATCTTCAAGGTAGCATATTTTGGGGGTTTATTGAGGTATGACTGCCTCAATAAGTATCCCTCAGTTCTCCCAACTTGAATTACTACAGATTAATTTTACTATCTATTGCCAATTATTTCTCCTCATTTATGTTAGAGTTCCTTTCTAAATGTAAATGTTATCACCTGATTGTTGCTGAAAACTTGGTCTTTGTCCCTGATGCTAACCCAATAAGGATGACATGGTTTTGAGATAAAGGAAAAAGAGGTTTCATTGCTTTGCTGGCAAAGGAGAAGCATGGGGGACTCCTATCCCAAAGGCTGTGATTCTGCCCATCAGCAGGAACAGGGGGCTTTTATAGGAGAGATTCAAAGGCTATATTCCACCTGTTCTCTGTTAGAGATGTAATTCACTTGTTAATTTGGGAGACAGTCATTTCTGAGATCTTCTGGTACCATCCCCAAAGTCTGGATTATTTCCTTCCTATATGGTGAGTGAGTACTCAAAGATAGATAAATCTGCTTAAAATGGGGAGGAAAGGTAATCCTCTTTCCCCTGAAATTAGGGAGGGGGAGAGATTATGTTGGAGCAGGAGGAGAGGAAGAGAAAGAAACATGTCCATTTTAAACATAAGTTGCAGTGGCAGAGTAGCAAGGGCTATACTAAAAGTATAAAGTGGGCCAATGTTACATGATCAACCACTTTTTGCTTCAGAAATCAACTCTAATATCTTTAACCTATCATTAAATCTCTAATTAAAAACTATGGCTCCTGACTTCTCCAAGCTGAATTGTGGAATCTCAGATCACTTTGCTCCAAATTCTGTTGTGATTTTAACATTTGACTAAATGAGTTCATGGATACAGAAAAAAAATGGCTGGCTGCAACTTGGCTACCTATTAGTCAAAGTGACAATCCAGCATTGAAGTAGATAATGTAATTGTAAGGAACTTTGGGTTTTCAGCATGATAAATTGGTTTTTGGTTGTTTAATTATTAAAGACATAACAAAAGTCAGATGAAAGCACAAAAATCTGTTCTGATGAGATATGTAATCTTTGTTATCTGAGAAATCTAACAGAACACCATTTATTTTCCTTAATTAGGCATAAATTTCTGTCCTCCAACACAATTTTGCCATTTAACAGTAGTAAGTCCAATAAAGGAATATGTCTCTATATTCAATGATCCTTGGTTAGGCCTATCAAACAATGTTTCTATGTGACAAAAAAAGAACATGCAGTCCTCCTTGTGCCTTTTGTTCACATTTTTCATAGTCATTCTTAACAATATGATTTTCAAATTATGATTCTTAGGAAATATAACAAAAATACAATATACACTTTTATTAAAAGTACCAAGAATTAATATATAATCATCCTTCTGATATTTTTGTACCTTTTTGTTTTATGTTTTAGAATAATAAGACAAAGACTGAATGGAAATGTCAAGTTAACATAGAAGGAAAATGGTTTTATGGACCTCCTATTTTATATGTTGGACCAGGTGAAACAGTGCAATACCCTCTCACATTTAAACCTATTTTGGAATGTGAGATTATGGTATGAATTTACTGATTCTTTTCCCCATTATTAATATGTACATGAACGATGTGTGATATTAATCTATTTAATTGGTAATAAAACATTTTTCAGACAGTTTGTATTTTCTAAAAATTTGATAATTTTTTTGCTTGAAACTTTAATACTTTTATTTACTGGATAAATATTGTGAAAGTCAAATGCTGTTATCTGTACTTATGTCTGGATTATTTTTACACAACACCATGAAGAATGTAAAATCATCACTTCTTTTGTTCTTAGTCATTAAGGAAATTCAGACCTCAGAAAATTTTTTTCTTAAGAATATTTTTTAACAAGGAAGTAAGCATGCATATAATTGCTATATATGAGAATGCCTATATAAATTCTATAATTTATGGAAAGTAGAGAGAAATAAAAAGCTTTTCACCAGTAATTCATCTGTTCAGTAGAAGCATTTATATATGAGTTGGAAAAGTCAATGACTAACATTTCCTTAGAAGCTCATTTTATTAATTAGACTCAAGATGAATAGGATTGCTGAAGTTGTTTGGCATTGAACTGTGACATGTAGTGCTGATTTTGGCTGGTTCATCATAGGGTAAACTTATTCTACAAAATGAAGTAGATGGTATGGAGCACATCTTTGACATAAAAGGGATTGGGAAAAAACCACTGGCCTTAGAACATATCAGTGTTGATTGTGAAGTGGGGAATGTGACAAATAAATCCATAATGGTGCCTAATTATACAAGGACTATCATAACATTTAAGGTAAGGTTTTTTTTTTAATTTGAAAAATATTTTATTCTGAATGTATATTGAATTATTATTAAAATAATAATTACATGAAAAATTTTAAACACTTTATTTAATCAGGTAAAATAATGATATGTTTAGAGATGTATACAATTCTACCTTTTATTAGTTCACAACTACTCATTTTAATTTCAATTAGCACCAAACAAGATTCATACTTAAGTATTTGAATATAATCATAAAATACATTAAAAACCACTTGTTTGAGTCACGTGTATTTTTGCTTGAAGAAATGGTGCATGATAACAAAGGATGTTTTCAAAAAACTTTAGAAATAACCTTAAAATTTTGAATGTGCAATCTGTAGGCACAGTCTATCCTATGATTTACCAGTTGAATAATAGTTGAAATGCGAAGAAGTGCATAGTTGCTCATATACTTATATTTTATGAAGTTTTTGTAGTTTGCCCTCCTCCATTGATTTGTTTATACTAATCCCTATATAAAATTCTCTGAACTGGGTGTATGCTCAGCATGTGCAAGACCCTCTGTTTAATCCTCAGTCCAAAAAAAAGAAAGAAAGAAGAAATTGCTGCCTCTACTTTTATCTACAAAATATGTGTCCAATATATTCCTCAAAAGAAACATCAACTATTTACCCATTCTAGGTGCCTTGATTCAGTTTTAGAAGGGTCTGTAGAAGTTTGGAAACTCTGGGCTTGTCTTCTACTTTTTTATATAGTCTTAAAATATGTGCACCTAGGTTTTCTCTTTCCTTTCTGAATTATAAATGAAGTGAATATTCTAAATGAAAATCTCCTCTTCTCATTCCCAGCTGAAACCCTTCAATGTCTTCTCTGACCTTCAGGATCAAGTCCTACTTCAGTGGCTTGCCTTTGCTCATCATAATGTTTAATTAACTTCATCTCTTGCCACCTGTATCTCCAACAACATTTAATCCTTTATCAACAGTATTTCCTTTTTCTGCTGCCTGGAACTCTCTGCCCAAATTCCTATCTTCCATTTATCTGTATCTAACACTTTGTCATTCTCTCTTATAAGGTTAAAAGTCTACTTTTTCCGAGAACTTTTCCCTATTCATAAACCTGGGTAACAGTCTTCTGCACTACAGAATTTTTGTACTGCCTTACCATCATACCTATTACTTCATATTGCTATTACCTATTTACTGTTCCTCACCAGATGATATATTGTGATAACAAGGCAATCTTACCCACATTTTTATACCTGGCATAAAACATAGTATTTAGCACATACATAATAGTGTATAATGAATAGATAAAAATAACACGTGGAATTTAGAAGAAAGAAAAAAAAAAGGAAAGAAAGGTGGAAACAAAGAAAGAAGGATGGAAGAACCTGGAGGGAAGGGTGGAGGAGGGTAAGGAAGGGAAGTTAAGAGGAAGGAAGGAAGGAAGCAAGGAAGGAGGGAAGGGAAGGGAAGGGAAGGGAAGGGAAGGGAAGGGAAGGGAAGGGAAGGGAAGGGAAGGGAAGGGAAGGAAATAGGTAGAGTGGGAAGGAAAGAAGAAGAGAAAAATTCATGACTATTTGGATTGGCTATAAATAAAGAAAACATGATTTTTGCACCACTTCTTTTCTACTTCCAGAATTTACTAATGAGCAAGGAAGCCTGTCAAAAATTTGATGAAACCAAATTACAGAACAATTTCTTAACATTGGTTATTTTGTTTTGTTTTCATGACAGAGATGATATTTTTATTTAATTTTATTTTTCATAATCATTGAACTTTTAAAATGATGTGACTTTAAAAACTAATACTTATGCTATATTAACTATACTGTCTAATTATAAAAGTGGAATTAATAAAATTATTATCATAGGCAACAATAACTGTGATTTTTTCATCACTTTATTACACAAATAATACTGAAATAATATTGTACAGAAATATGATTGCTAAATCACATAGTAATTCTATTTTTAATTTTTTGAGGAACTTCCATATTGTTTTCCATAATGGCTGTACTAATTTACATTCCCACCAATAGCATAAAATATTTCCTTTTCCCCCACATATTCACAAACACTTGTTATCTCCTGTCTTGTTGATAGTAGCCATCTTAACAGGTGTGGGATGATATCTAATTGTGATTTTTATTTGCCTTTCCTTGAGGATTATTGATTTTGTGTACTTTTTTTGTACGAGGGGTTGAACCCATAGGTGCTGAACCACTAAGCCACATCCCCAGCCCTATTTTGTATTTTATTTAGAGACAGGGTCTCACTGAGTTGCTTAGTGCCTTGATTTTGCTGAGGCTGGCTTTGAATTTGCAATCCTCCTGCCTCAGCCTCAGGAGCTGCTGGGATTATAGGCATGAGTTACTGTGCCTGGCTGATTTTGTATACTTTTATGGTTAAAAAAAAAAGTATATTTAGAAGTAGCTTGCTGCACTAAGTTCATATGATGCCATTTTTGTTGGCAACATCCAAAGCATCATATTCTGGAGTCAGTCAAAGATTATGCCTTTTTAGATCCATTAGACCAGATTTGATTATTGACCTTGGACCCATCAGTGTCATAGGATATGTGTTTGGTTTGGTGGTTATAAATATAAGTATGTTGATAATGGCATAGTGGTCAATCTTGTTCCTCCTGAAGGTGCTATTCCCAGGATATTTGGACTGCCTCAGGAGCCACAATATCTTAGACAGCCAGAAAATGCGTAATACAGTGATCTTTTCTTTATGGCTGTAGATATATTTCAGCACTGTCTTTTGGCCTTTGAACCCTTTTCTTTGGCTTCCGCCTTGAGAGGTACAAGAGTGTCCTTCTTGCTTTAGGGGCCAACTTAGTGAAAAGTCATGTTTAGAACTTTAAAAAATATGCCTGGTAATCATGTCTTCTTTGGAAAAAAAATGTCTATTCAGGTCCTTTGTAATTAATTAAGTTACTTGGCTTTTTGCTATTGAACTACATGTGTTCCTTATATATTTTGTATATTATACCCTAATCAGTATGACTTCCAAATATTTTCTTCCAGTTTATAGGTTGTTTTGTCATTTTATTATTTCCTTTATTATGTATAAGCTTTTAAAATTCGATGTGGCTCCATTTGTTTGTTTTCTTTTGGGGCCCTGCTTTTGGTGTCATATGCAGAAAATCATTACCAAGAATAATGTCAAGGAAAATTTCCCCTATACTTTCTTCTAAGAGTTTTACAGGTTCAGGTCTTATACCTAAGTCTTTAATCCATCTCAAGTAAACTTTTGTGCACAACTGTCCTTTCTCCATTGTGTATCTTTGGTGCCCCTGTCAAAGTTTAGCTGGCCCTATATATGTGAGTTTATTTCTGAGTCTTTTTTTCTGATCAATTGGTCCATATGTGTGTTCCCATACTGGCACCATACTATTTTGATTACTATGGGTATGTAATGTAATTTGAAATCAGGAACTGTGATGCCTCCAAACTTGTTCTTTGTTCTCAAGATTGCTTTGGCAATGATTCCATTGGAAATGAAACCAGTATTTGAAATAATTTAATTTCCATGTTCATTGTAGCATTATTCACAACAGCCAAGATATGGAAAAAAAACCTAAATGCCCATCAATGGATGAATGGGTGCACAATATATGGTGTGTGTGCATGTGCATGCGCATGTGTGCATTGTAATGAGATATTATTTAGCCATATAAAGAAAGAAATCTTGTCACTTGCAACAACATGGATAACTTGGAGAACATCACATTAGGTGAAATAAGCCAGAGTCTGGGGGCTGGAGGAGATGGGGAGATGTTGATCAAAGAGTGTATACTTTCAAGTATACAAAGAATAATTTGGGGAAAATTAATGTACATAGGGTAACTAACTCTAGTTAATAATGTTATATAGTGTGTTATAATCATGTTATATAGTATGAGGTGATGGATATATTAATTGACTTGATTGTGGTAATAATTTCACATTATCCATGTATATCAAATCCTCACATTATACACCTTAAATACATGCAATTCATATTTATCAATTTTAGATCAAGGGTAGAAAAACAAAAAGAAAAAAATCTAATTAATATAGACCCAACATTGGTTAAAAAAATCCTTAACTTTAATGGGAATAGTACATTAGCTTAGTTTGAATATTTACTCTTTTACCATTTTTCATAAAGCATGTCATAGATGGTTTTACACAGGTAGTGTCAATGCTATTTAAAATCATTGAATACTAAGTCATGTCGATATCAGAGAAAAGGAACTAAAAGGGAAGAATAGTTTAACCCCCATTCTTGCTGAAATAGAATAAGGGATGATGATTATGAGTCTAGGTTTTTATTTATTTATTTGGTACTGGGGATTGAACTTAGAGGTGTTTTACCACTGAGCTACATCCCCAACCCTTTTTAATTTGAAATGGATTTGCTAAGTTCCTGAGGATGGCCTCAAACTTGTGAGCATCCTGCCTCAGCCTCCTGAGTTGCTGGAATTACAGGTGTGCACCACTGTGCCTGACTGGAGATTAGGTCTTTTAGATCATCAAAGCCACATGAGCAGACAGGACAGAGCCCTGATACCTTGATTTCTCTCCCATCAGAAGCTTTTCACTACTTGAAAATCTTGATACAATAATTTGGGCTTAAGAACTCCTAAAGACTTGGATTATTTTCAGAGTATAAAATTGCAGTGAATATATTTCTGTAATTAGATATTAAATGATAAAGTAATGAAATATTAGTTGATTAAAATATTAATAATATTGTTCATATATTCCAAATTTGCCAATATTTTTACATGTATATATTTAAATAGCTCTAACAATTACAAAAGAAGAGAAACATTATCTATGGCCTCAGAATGTTTGTGCATATGGTTATTATCAATAGATAAAATATCACCATTCTTAGCCCCGTATTGTGTTGCATGCTAGTAATCCCAGCAACTCCGGAGGCTGAGGCAGGAGGATTACAAATTCAAAGCCAGCCTCAGCAATTCAGCAAAGCCTTAATCAAATTAGATAGACCCTGTCTCCCCCTCCTGCCCCCCCCACACACATACATACACACACACACACTCATACACATAAAGGTTTGGGGATATGACTCAGTGGTTAAGCTCCCCTGGGTTCAATCCCCAGTACCTTCCCCCACCAAGATATATAGAGAGGGCAGGGTACCTTCCTTAATTAGAAAGTTACCATAAATGTTAAGGTATATGTACCAAAATGATGATTCATTTGCATAGCCAATTTGCTATTTTTTTCACTCATAATATTTGGGTTTATTACTTGGTTTTTGTTTGTTTGTTTGTTTTTGTGGTGCTGGGGCTTGAACCCAGGGCCTTATGCATGTGAGGCAAGAACTCTACCAACTGAGCTATAACCCCAGCCCCTTATTGTTTGTATTTTGATGTGAATTCTACTGATGAACAATTGAGTTGCTTCTAAGAGAAAGGGTAGACTGAGAATCTTCATAGTGTGTGGTTTCATCATATACTTGTTTTTGGGGGAGCCACTTAAATGCTTCTAATCCACCATCTGTAAAATGCAGTTGACTTCTATGCATTCAAAGGCCTATTCACTTTATTTCCTTTTCTTTTTCATCTTCCAATATTTTTAGCTTTGTTAAATTATTTCCTTTAACCTATATTCTTATTTTTTCCATTATGAAAGAAAATTTCCCTCTAATCATATTCCTTCTTCAGTTACTATCCTCTTTATTTTCAATAATTTCTAAACTTTTTGAAAGAACAGTATTTATATGATCACTTCTTATTTCATGGCAGTCCATTTGTGGCTCCTATACTCTGTTAACAATCACTACATCTGAGATCACTTATGACTTTGAGCAGTTCCTTTCCCAAGTTATCTGCCTCAAGATCCCTGTAGTGTTTGACACTGTTAACCTGCCTCCTAACACTCTTTACCTTTTATTGTATATCATTCTATATTGTTTACCTGACATTTCTTGATTATTATTTATCTTGTCCTTTTTTCCCATCTCTCTAGCTTCCACATAAAAGAGATAACCTTGACTTTCTGAGTCTGGCTTATTTCACTCAGCATGATGTTCCCCAGTACCAGCGATTTTCTAGCAAATGACATACTTTCATTCTTGTTTATGGCTGAGTAAATCTCCATTTTATATTTTTAAAATATACATTTTATCTTATTCCTACAAGAACAGTTTGAAATAGAAGATTGAGACTAACAATATGAGAGAGAAAATAAAAATTTAGAAAGCCTAGTTGACATATAGGTAAAATGCTATGGAATGTTATCAAACCAAAAAAGTAGTAGAAAATAATTACACAATAAGGAAGAGAAGCAATGAGGGACTTCCAAAAATGTGGTGCAAGGAGTTTTGTAAACCTATTTCTTTAAAGTAGTGGTAACAGTGGCAAAAACTGTCAAAATCAAATTTTTTAGAAATCTGGAAATTAAAGAAGTAAAACAATCTGAGTAAATTTTTATTTTAAAAAAAAATCCTCTAAATCATGGTGAAAGTAGAATGATTTGTGGCTTTTAGCTTGATCTACTCCTATCTCCCTCAGCTCTGCAATCTTAACAACTATAGTAGTAGTTAAAACCAGAGGCCTTTCAAACAAGAAAATAGGCAGATTGTGTATGGATCACTATTTGACTTTTCTCAAAGTTTCCTGGAAACATCTCATTAGCAAGGTATTATCTCATTTGACTTGTCTCAGAGTTTTATTTGATCAAAGAATCCTATGTTTAGAGTATTTGTCAAAAAATCTTCAGCAACAGTTGTTCAAATTACAGTATCCAGAGACTGCAGTAACAGTAGCAAACAATAAAAGTTTGGTTCAAAACTTGAAAGGAGTATCTGGAACATGAAATACCACTAGGAAAATTTAAAACCTCTGAAATATCCTGTGGGTCAAGCAGATCATATATATGTGCATTATATGTGCATATATATGTGTGTGCATGTTCAAGAAAGACATGAGGGCATCCAAGTATTTTGCCTCTGGCTGACATAAATGTACTTCTTGAAATGGAAATTAAAGCTACAACTGAGTTTTAAACTACCTCATTGTTGATGGTATACCACAACATATATATGGTGCTCCTTTGCAATGGGTAGAACACTTATTGGTTCAGGGCATTTAAAGAACCTGTGACAAATCATTGCTGATTACTGAGCTAGTAGCTAAGCAGGGACTTTAGTAGGCACATATTATGTATGAATGTAGATTTCTAGAATTAATCCATAAATAATTTGTGCATGGCCTATAAAGGATATTTATATTTTCTAAGCATCAATGACCTTGATAAAAGTAGCAGTACAAAATAAACATTGGTTTTCTGTAAGAATAATTTCCTTTGTTCTATTTTTTAATAAGTCTCTTCTTAGATTTTTTTCCACTATATATGAGATTTTTGTGATTGTTTTTCTTTTAAAAGTGAATAATTTTAATGGAAGTATTCAAATTAAATTTTAGTAGTTCTATATTTTAGTTTGTCACACTAATATCATGTAGTATAATGTGAGGAACCAATCTGAATGATTCATATTCTCCTTCCTGGAGTGGAGAGGCTTTGATCGTTACTACATCTCATAGTGACTTGGACATTGCCCTGGTCCCGGAAGTTTGAGGAAGCATCTTCAGACGTAGGCATGTCGTCCCATGGATTGAGCTATGCTTACCTGTTCCTTTGTGATATTACTCCTTTGCCCTGTTTGGGATAGAATATTCCATGGAAACGCCCTTTGTGTGTCCCCTTCTCTTGCTCTGCTTTTGAGTGTGGCCTTCCTAGATGTCAGTCAGTCTGCTGACAGCAGACATCACAAAGCTAGACTCAACCCCCTGAAACCTGACCCCTTGCCTCATTTGAATGGCTTCTCCCCAATAAAAGGGTTCAACAAATGGCTCTCTCTCTTTCTGCAGACCCCTAAGGTCAGAGGAGCCATCACAGGACCCCAAAGAAAAAGGTATCACTGTCTCTTGTGTGGTTATTTCATGCAGCCCAATTCCCCTGGAGTGACCTTGAGTGTTTTAGTCATGAAGAACACAACAGTATTACATATTAAAACATAAAAAAATTATATAATTCTTATTTTTCAATTCTCTTTTTTAGGTATCATCAGATCTACCAATAGTGTGGGGAAATCCATATATCACTATAGACCCTGATAATTCAGTTCCATATATTCTACATGTGTGCCCTTGGAAACGTGGTGTATTCAAAGGTATCAAATCCATTAATAAAATATTATTATAGCTCACACTAGATGGAAATATGATAAGAATTTTAATTATAATTTATATTTTCCTTTCTAAATGTCTCAGAGTGAGATTTAGTTTTGCATTTCTGTAATTAGCTTTCTAAACAATCTGACCTTTAGGTCATTTATTTTATGCCTGGTTCTAGATTATCTTTTTAATTTTTTGTTAGTGCATTTTTGTTATATACATAATAGTGAAGCTCATTTTGACATATTCATAAATGCATATAACATTTTTCTCCATTTCAATACATAGTACCTCCTTTTTCTCTCCCCTCCTCCTATGCTTTGACCCCTTTCCTCTTCTCTATTGGTCTTCTTCTATTTATTTATTTTTTTAAATTGATGCATTATAGGTATATATAGAATTGAAATGCACTGTGATCTATTCACACATGCACATAACATAATTTGATCAACTTCATTCCTCAGATCTTCCCCTCTCTTTTTCCTCCTCCCTCCTTCTTGGGCCCCCATCTCTCCTCTACTGATCTGCCTTCCATTTTCATAAGATCCCCTTTTTAAAATTCCTTACTTCCCTCTAGCTTCCACGTATGAGAGAAAACATTCAGCTCTTGACTTTCTGAATCTGGATTATTTCACTTAGTATGATGTTCTCCATTTCCAACCATTTACCAGCAAATGACACAATTTCATTTTTCTTTATGGATGAGTAGAACTCTATTGTGTATATATACCACATTTTCTTTATCCATTCATCTATTGACAGATACCTAGGCTGGTTTTGTAACTTGGTTATTGTGGATTGTGCTGCATTTATCACTGTAGCATGCTGATTATAGTTCTTTTGGATAAATCCAAAGGAGAGGGATAGCTGGGTGGAAACTTCATACTGCTTTCCCAAGTGGTAGTGCTGTATTATCTTTATCATTTATTCAATTTTATTTGTCAACAATTTTTAGAAGTAGTTAAGAGTATTTATGTTTAAAATTTGATAAACATATTCAAATACTTCTATAAATGTACAAACTGAATAATATTTTATGAGAATGTCTGTTTACAGAGTTGTGTCTTATAAAACATCTATATGAACATAATTGATATTTTGAAAATAGTTTAAAGACTTGGTATGTGTGAAATTTTCTTACTTTATCTCTAATAAAGCATTAATTTATACAAGTTTTCCGAAAGGTTCCTGAACAGAATTACTTGCCTGGAAATGGGGGTGATAGGTATTCCTACAAGCTTTTGAAGGGAGGAAGATAAGATGTGATAGAAGATAAATAGCTAGAACTAAAGAGCTATGATTCATCAAAGGAAATAGTTTTCCTAATTGGGAGAGAATTAAATCCATTGAAAGATGGAATCTACTAAGGAAATTATTAAAATGGAGGTAACTAGATACAACTTTAGAAGTGTAGAAAACATACACCTAGAAGTTTTCTTGTGCTCCATGGAAGTACTAGCCTCTTATCCCTGTGTACCTCAACAAACACTATTTGAGGAAAGGATCTACATCTAGCATAGAAGGTATAGGAAGATGCTGCAAAGCAGAAAGTACAGAGAATATTCTAAATGCCAATGTTATTAGCAAGTAGAAGGGAAATTTCAGAATAGCAACCACAATGCTCCAGTTCCTACAGCTGTGACAGAATGCAATGTGTAAGAAGAATCTACATACCCATCCCCACTCTCTGCCTTTTAATATGCTTAACCTCAAATGTCAACATAGCAACAGTGCTTAGCATTTTCTGAAATCTTCCCACTACTTTTTGAGATAATGAGCTTTATAAAGTCTGTGAATAAATCGCCTGGTAGGTACATTTGCGCTATAATGACCCTATTTCCAAACATGTCAGTGAAGTCACATTTTGCCATTTTTTAGGTAATCCAGAAGATATAAATTGTATTCAAGAAAATTTTATTTCAATTTTAATTGTAATGATCTATGATAAATCTTAATAGTTGGTGGTGGATCTTCCTTAGGTTTACAATTTTAGCTAGCCTTTTGTAAAAGCATCATGTCATTCAAATTTTCATGATTCTTTTTCATAAAATATAATGAATATCAATTTCATGTTCTATAGAAAGCAGCCAGTTACGTTACTCGTGAGAAGGAACATAAAAGGAACCACAAACTGTGGAACATCATTGAATTGGAAATGTTTATGAATGTGTCAACTAAAGCCCCTGGTCCATGAAAAGGTCTCTAAGTTGTTGAAATGAACCTAAGAAAAAATTGCCTGATTAGATTTGACATGCCTTTTCCTTGTATAATTGTTTCCTTGATTTTTGTCAGGTTTTGTAAGATCATTAAATTTCAGTACTTATTTTCACTAATCAGATATAGTTAAGATACTCTTTAATGCATAAGACATTAGAACCTTAATCAGGCATCCTTTTAGATTGGTCAGAACTGGAACATAAATTTTCTAATTATTTTGAATGTTACCACTAAATACAAAGATGGATATGATATAGCTCCAACCTCCCAGGAATTTATAACTGATTGTAGGAATGTATATACATGAACCATCTCAATCAGGGTATACTATGATATACCAAAATTTTAGAGAATTTCATAGGGGATATTGGTTTGATTGGGACCTTGAATGATGATCTGAGATTTATCAGCTAATATGGGTGAGAAGGACATTCCTGCAGAGAAAACAACCTTATCGAAAAAACAAAGACAATTTCTTTAAATATTTTTTTTGAGAGGAGGAAAATTTTATTTGGGGGCTCACAGTTCAGAGGTCTCAATCCATAGACAGTTGGCTTCCTTCCTTAGGATTTGAGGTGAGACAGAACATCATGGCGGAAGAGTGTGGTGGAGGGAAGCAGCTCACATGATGATCAGAAGGCAGAAAAAAGTTTAAATAAAATTTTAAAAACACTTGTGCTGGGGTTTATGAGTATTTGATTGGAATGCAGAGTGACATACAGTTAGAAATACAGGTAGACTTTTTGGGGAAGAGTTTTGTTTTACCTATTGCAGTGGGAGCTATTGAAAATGTCTGAGGAAGTACAAGGCATGAGTTGACTGAGTGCTGATAAGGAAAAGTCTGGAGATAATAAATAAAGCAAATGGGAGGAGAGAGACAGGGTAGTTAAATCTGGGAGATCAGTTACAGTTCTTTGACAGTATGCCAAGTAATCAGTTCTTAATATTAGCTTGTGACCCCACTTTGAAAGACAGATCCTAAAATAAGAGTTTAATTGCAAGTACTTTATCTAAGATATGATCAAAGGAAGCATTCTGAGAGAATGGAAAAGTAAGATGCTGAAGGATAAAGCTAATAAAAAGTAAGGTATCTAGTAGATTATTTCTGAAAACTAGGAGACCTTACCTGAGACCTCCAGATGGAATCATCACACTGAATGGCAAGTAAATTGGGGCATTTATCCTCTAACTTCTGTCCATTAATGATTAGTGTGTTATTAAGGCCGGTTCCCATGACAGTGAATCTTCACAGCCAAAAAGAGTTATAACGGGGGATATCAGTGGGGATACTAATGGCATGTATTAACCTTGGCCTAAACATTCTTGATACAGTAATGGGAAATTCTCTCCTACTGTTCATGATCTTTAGTAACTGGCAACTCCAAAAAGTAGATAACAATTATCAATTTTGACAATATCAGCAATCACTTTATATTTGGCTCAGTCACACCCAAAAGAGCTTTTTTTTTACTTGCTGAAAAGTGATTATGTTCGTTTAGTTCGGCACAAGTATAAATTATAGCCACAATTCATTTATAAAAATTTGCAATTCATGAGTTAGCACACTGGAATGAGATCTGTTATGATGCTGGCACAAGAAAGCCTCATCAAAAAAAAAAAGAAAGAAAGAAAGCCTCATCTAAACAATTGCAAAAAAGCTTTTAGTCAATCTTAAAATTTCTTTTCAGTGATCTTCTGCTTAATGTCAAAGTAAAATGTTTAATGTGTAGCAATAAATTTCTCTTTTTTTGGTACCTGTGATTGAACCCAGAGTCTCTTACCCATTGAAACACATCCCCAGCCCTTTTTATTTTTTACTGTGAGGCAAGGTCTTGCTAAGTTGCAGAGGCTGGCTTTGAACTTGCAATCCTCCTGCCTCAGCCTCTCAAGCTGCTGGGAGTACAGATGTGTGCCACCATGCCAGGCAAAGTTTTTCTTATATTAAGCCCACATTTAAACAGGATAGAAGTAGTTATTCTTATTGGCATTCTGCTATTCTCAATATTTATTTCAAAGACATGTTTTACCAATGACCAGCTTTTAAGATGATAAATTCAGTTCCAAATATGATTTCTTTTTTTTAATTTTTTTATTTGTCCTACTTAGTTGTACATGACAGCAGAATGCATTTCAATTCATCATACACAAATGGAGTGCAACATTTCAATTCTCTGGTTGTACACGGTATAGAGGTACAAAATTCGTGCAATCATACATGTACCTAGAGTACTGATGTCTATCTCATTCCACCATATTTATGTTTGAAGAATGCTGCTTGTCATGTATTTTCAGAATGTGATGCTGAGCAAAAGTAGTGTCATTAACATTTTCATTTAAAGCTTGGGCAGTGTGTTCAAGTCATCCACCATGTTACAATGGCAAAAATGCATATCTTGTGCATTACTATTTCTTGTTTAACTGTTATTTTGTTTCAAAAGAGTATATTCATACATTAAAAAATTTGATTTTCAATGTTTTCATAATATTTCCCTTTAAAATTTTTCAGGATAAAATTAATATTATGTATGTATTTTAGATTTAGCTTGTATCTTAAGATTTCAAAACCAATAGAATTAGTTTAAGAAAAAAGTTTAACGCTAAATATAATCATAAAAGCCTTATTTCATTTCCACTTTTATAAAATAATTTTACATATTTCTTTGTAAAGTATCAAGAAATAATTTCCTTTATAAAAAGAGCTCTTTGAGATTTGCCTTTCTTCTAAACTACAAACCAAGTTACTTTTTATATCCTAAGTGATCCATTCTTTGATTTTTGC